GAAACAAAATGCACTTATTATATTTAAAACTAAATTTGGAGTCGATATGGTTGACCAAATGCCGTGAAAATATAGCGTCAAATCCAAATGCAGTAGATGTACAGATGGCCTGTACAACTATTTTTTAACATCTTGCATTTCGCTGGAATTAATGCATGGATACTGCATGGATCAGAAAACAACTGGGTTGAAAATATCAAGGCAACATTTTCTGTTGCAATTAACAGATGAGCTCATGGCAGAATACCACAACTTTCAGGAAGAGGAAAAGGAAAATCAACAAGAATCAATCAGCTCCATTGTGCAATCCAACCAGCAAAATTGTGCAATTTGTAAAAGATTTGTCTGTGGGAAATGCACGAAGCAGACACCAATCACCTGTAAAAAAAAATGTATTTAACCGATTATTTTGTTTACAGAAATAAAAATATGTGTTTGATTATTTTATTAGAAATGAGAAATTACGTGGAAAATTATTTCCTTTAATAAATTAGAAATTTCTTTCAGAAAATCAACGTTTATTTGATAAGAGGTGAAATGACCCCTCGTGGTAAGAATAGCTAGGTGCAAAATACCGGTACGTTTAGTGTTAATGGCTGGACCAACGATCTAAGAGGACCTATTCTCTATTGTAACGTGTTTCCGTACCCATAATTATGTTCTTTCTGCGGACAACATAGAAAAGATGTTTCTTCAGGTAATAGTACATCCTGAAAATCGTAAGTATTTACGTATCTCATGACGAAGAGAACCTGATGAAACGATCAAGACGTATCAATTGAATACGCTTCCATTTGGATTAACATGCTCGCCGTTCCTGGCAGTACGAAGTTTACAACAATTAGCCGAAGATGAGATAGACAATTATCCAAAGGCAGCGGCAATACTTTTAAGGGATTTTTATATTGACAATTTACAAACAGAAACATTTACAAAGTGCGGAAACCCTAGAAGAATCTTGCGAAATTCGGGATGAACTTATTAAGCTCTTGAGAAAGGGAAGTTTTCATTTGCGGCAGTGGTGCTCGAACAACAAACATCTCCTGGATGCTCTTCCTGAGAATGTAACCAATCGCCGATTATATCAAGATGGAAGCGCAGTTATAAAGGCTTTACGGATTCATTGGAACTGCGAGGAAGACACCATTATTTATACACGGAGTGTATAATCCAACAACGGAGTCACAATTATTTATTATTAGGATTGCTCAAAATCCCGAATGGCTCCCCTTGAAACTATCACCATACCCAGACTGGAACTATGCGCAACGGTTTTATTGGTCAACCTGTGCAAAACCGTAAAAAGGATTCTCAAACTTGAATTCGATAAAATAGTTTTTTGGTCCGATTCGACAATAGTTCTTCGCTGTATTAAATCGGCAGCTTAGACATTAAAGACATTTGTCGCAGACCGTGTTGCCGAAATACAGTACATCAGCAAAAGATTGGAAGCACGTATCATCGTTAGATAATCCCGCAGATGCCTTATCAAGAGGTCAACTGGTACCGCACTTCGTAGCCAATGAAGTATGGTTTAATGGACCGACTTGGCTGAACAAAGACGAGTCTCATTTGCCGAAAACGAAGTTCAGAACTCTGTCTGAGATTCCGGAACAACGAAAGCAAACTGTACTCGATACAACAAACGGCCGCAATAATCTTTTAATAAGATACTCATCGCTGATTAAACTTAAACGCGCAATTGCGTATTGTCTACGCTTCAAAAATAATTGTCAAGGGGGCAGAAGAAATATGAAAACGCTTCAACCTTCTGAGATAAGGGTGGCAACGATGTGCATACATAAGATGCTGCAGAACCAAGTTTTTTTCCAGGGAAATCTATAGTTTGCAGCATATGAAGGAACTGCTGCCTGACTCCAAGCTGGAATCGTTAAACCCATTTCTGGATAAGGCGGGGATTCTAGGGGTTGGCGAGAGAATGAAGAACGCAAACATACCATACGCGCAAAGATATCCCGTTCTTTTACCCAGATCGCACCCAATAACTGACTTGATTATCGGATACGAGCATCTTAAAAACTATCGTGCTGGGGAGCAGGGCACCTTGTATGCAGTCATAGAGAACTGTTGGCCAATAGACGGACGTAATCAGACACGCCGTGTTATTCGCAGATGTATCATTTGTACGCGGATGACACTGTCAGAATATAAGTACAAAATGGGTGCGCTCCCCGCGGATAGAGTCACTGAAACTCGCCCCTTTACCAATGTAGGGTTAGATTACTGTGGATCAATGTATATTAGAGAGAAGCGTCACAGGAATCAAAGAAAAATTAAAACATACGTCGCCATTTTTATATGCGTAACCACCAAGGCTGTCTACATAGAGTTGGTAAGTGATCTTACCACAAAGACTTTTATTGCAGCGCTTAAAAGATTTATTGCAAGAAAAGGTAAGTGTCGTACTATCCGACAACTGCAACAATGCCACTAATTTCAAGGGAGCCAGGTACGAATATATTGAGATTATAAACCTATTAAAATCATCTAATTATAGAGAAAGAACAGCCCACCTTCTAGCAGATGAATGACACCCGATATCTCCAAGATCACCGCATTTTGGCGGATTATGGGAAGCTGCTGTCAGATCCTTCAAGCACCATATGAAAAAAGTAGTAGGGGAAACCCTATTTACGTACGAGAATCTGAATGCTTATGTAATTGAGACAGAAGCCATATTGAATTCTCGTCCTCTAACTCCAATATCAACAGATCTCAACGACACTTTTTAATTGGAGACTCCTTGTGAAGTTTGCCCGAAATTGACTTAACAACATCATCTAATCAGTTATCATCCTGGCAACACATACAGAAACTCAAGCAGCACTTTTGGGCTAGGTGGTATAAGGAATACTTAAATCAGCGGATAGTACGGCATAAGTGGCACATATCAGGAACCAAAATTGAAAAGGACACCATTGTGATATTAAAGGAGAATAATCAACCACCACTGCATTAGTCATTAGGATGTGTCATAGAGCTCCACCAAGGGGGCGACGGAGTTGTCCGAGTAGTAACGGTTAAAAACCGCTACCGGCTTATACAAGAGGTGTGTGAAGAAGCTAGCCCCTTTACCCGGAAGAAGAACCACCTGATAAACTTTAATAAATATACCCTTTTTTGTGTTCTTCACTGTATAATTTCCACTTACAATATGTAACTAATATCTAAATTTTTGAACAGTGATACCGTTCAAAGGGGGGAAGAACATGTTCCGTCCCGGAGAGCGTTTTCATAGCATAACTCTTACTTTAATTTCCGATAATTCTAAAGACTTATTTTGTATTACGACTGTTACGCCGAGGGTTAAACGTGTCTCGCCGCCCTCTCAACAGATTAAGTCATATATCTAAATGCAAAAGTTCAGAAAATTTACAAGTACCACACCCGACAGATTGGACCCACGTGCGACAGACCCACCAACGCGACGGACGGACACCACTTGTAAATCACGTCACTGACCATCGAAAATCGGCTCCTTGACAGTTCCCTACTTCTCAGCCAAAGGTCCTTCCGTCACACCCTCTGTCCAATCAAAAATCTTTACTTTTCCACCACTAATATTTATCTTAACCAATCAGAACCAAACTGAAGAAAACACCGGACAGGACATGACGAGACACAAGACAGACTAAAATTGGGAAGTCAATTGGTCTTCGACACCAATCACTGAAACATCGTACATATACTTATAAACGCGTGTTCGAAACGGTACTCCGATAAACGTCTCTACTATAACTATTGTATACTTTTACTGTAAATAAACACTCTATTTTAACATCACACTCGGAATCCTTAATATTACAAAACTAATCACGTAATATTAATTTGCCGCGTGATAACGTTCTTGGAGATCGAAGAGATTCGATACATAGGACGCTACACAAATAATATTGGTTTTCAGTATAAATGAAAATCGTTTTTTATGTCAATTTTCTCGTGCACGGTATAACACATTTTTACACTTGAGTTTTAACCGACACAAGGATACTAAAGAAGAAATAACATATTCGTTTGAAAACGATTGAAACGAATCAAAGAATTGATTTATACAAGAAAAAATAGTTGCATTTAAGAAAGATGCAAATGCATTAATACATAAGAATGCACAAAAGTGATTCAGAAATATAGAACATGCAATACTGTTCACTTCTGCACTCTAACATTTTTTCTATCCCCAAATTTAGTTTTAAAGGTTTTAGAAACACTTCCATCCAGTTGCGTGAAACAGTCCCTATATACACCAGACTAGTGGCGATCTTTTATAGACACAACGCATTCACAATATACACGTACATTCAAAATTCAATGTAGTTGTACCAACAATTTTTTCAAATATTTCGGAAACTAAAACCAAACGACAATTACTATACAAATAAAAATTGTTCAAAAATTCGTCCGCTATAATAAATTCAAAATCATCGAAATCGATCCACACATTCTATAGTTTTTCCAAGTTTTATACCTTTTGTAAAAAAATAGTAAAAACACCTTAGTTTTTTAATTTCCTTCGGACTATGTTTCTTATTTATACCAAAATATAGCATTTTTTGACAAATTTTTGTGTCAAACTTATCAATGGTCTCAACTATTACCTTTAATATATACTTAAAACTTATATTACATTTTAAAGGTGAAAATTTATCGAATAATAATGATCATAATGAATTTACCTCAAATGTCATAAAAGCTTTATAAAATTCTTCGGCCCTACACTGAAATTTCTGCTGTTGCTTAATTGTCGTCGTTGAAATCTTACAGCCTAATTCCTTTTTATTATTTGATGATAATATAGTAGAGCTCATTTGCATCTGTAACAATTAATTATAGATTAATTAACTGTATAATTTGAAAAACATAATATCTAACTAAAAAAAATGGATTAAAATATTTAAAAATTCTCGAATTACATTCAATATAACAAGTATGACACAACACAAATCATTTTTCCATACTTACTTTTGCATTGAATCCGGAAGTGATATTTGAAATATTTTCTTTTACGCTATCTTTCTTAGGTAAAATCATTCCAACTGTAAATTCTAATAAAAAGTAAAAAATTGTATTAGTGAGAATAAAAGAAAATACAAAAGTTATGTAATAATAATACATAATTCAAAGTAATCATCAAAATGGCAATTTAATAAAAGTACAGCTGTATTTAAATAATTATTATAAATGCTTACAATTTGTAAATAGAATTAACAAATTTTATATTTTTAATAAACTAAGTATTTTTATTAATTCAGAAAATATATTACACCAAGCATTTAATAACCATTTACGCAACTAATATAATTATACAAATTTTACATTTCTGTATAAATATATAGCTCTCTATATAATTTGACATGATGCAAGAGTTTCATATAACATTTATCAATGGATAATGAAGAAATACATTCTTTTTTTTTCTTATAGTTTACATTGAACGAACTTAAATTTTTATAATATCAAAGGAAATGTATATCATGTATAAACTATTAAAGGATATTATTCATAGTTTTAATTTACCTTCTTTTAAGGAAGAAACATATTTTTTCAATTTATCTCTAATAAATTCCTTTCCTTTTGTATGTAGGAAATGTTTTACTGCTTCACCTTCATCTGTGCTATCTTCCAAAGTAATTTCAATCTGTTGAAAAGAATGTTTTTTTTTTTTTTGTTACACTGAACATCTTTAGAAATATTTTATTAAAAATGAAATTTAAATAATATCAAAATATATTTTATAAATTTATTACATTAATATTAAGTTATAACAAGTACAAACTTTTTTTTTTATTACTTAATTAGTTAAGTGTCATGTGGAAAACTATAAAATATTGTTGGAAAATAATACAAGTATATAAGTAATATGCAACATATATCAGCTGTTTATTATGCAAATGAAACACACATTGACAATACAATATATATGTTAATGATACAAATAGGTCAAGAAGGAATCCAAAAACAGAGAAAAAGGAAAAGAGCAACACAAGTTATGTTTAATAAACATTACATAGCTTACAATAAGTAAGCATTAAAAATATCTACTAATAAAGAAACACAACTTAACTTAAACCACATATGCTAATATTTCATGGTAATATCTAAGCAAGAAATTAAAAAATAAAATATCACTCCTTGATACTCAATTAATTAAGCTTTCCTTTTTGTAGAAATAAAAATATACTTTTTGCTATAGTTAATCTGTATTACAATTAGTATCTATGAGATGATATTTGGGAATCTAAAGTTATATATAACTATATTCTATGGATGTATTTTAAATACTTACGTCTACTTCAGAAATATTGTTTTCCTCAGAGAGGTTTGGAATGTTTATTTTACCCTCAATCTTCTTATCAGATTTTTTATTGGACATCCATTTCAAAACAATATTCCATTCGTAAAAGAAAATTAATTTACCTTTTCGATTATTTGCCATTGCCTCACCTTCACATTTCTCTACTTCTGCTACTGTACAAGAAACTAAAAATAATAATTTCATTACATAATATATACAGTATGATTTTTTAAAAATGTGTAATTCTTAAGGTATTCATCAAGTGAATAAAAAAGGTTTGAATAAACATGGGCCAAGAAATTGATATTTTCAAAGTTATAAACAATTATGCATAGAAATACTACATTATAGATGCTCGCCTTCTAATTTCATATATGCTTAACATCTTCAAATCAGAAAATTTAAAATGTTATTTTCAAATCCATGTATGTATGTATTATGAGATTTTTTATTCATTTGGCAAATACCATCGAAGACATCTAAAATCTGAAAGTTTTTTTTTATTACCCTGCATGTTTAATATTAAATGTATATAACTATTTAATAATTTTATTTTATTTTATTACTTTCATTCTCGGCATTTTTAATTTATTACTATTACTATTTATTATACTATATATTATATTAAAAATGATAATTATACACAAATATATATATACACAAGAGATAGATGAAATGTTAATATAACTATAGACTTGAAATTTTAATTCCTTTAATAGTTTTCTATAGTTATATATTTCATTTTGTTCACTTAATTTTTTTTTAAACTTAGAAACATTTATAAATTCAATTAGGATTAAATGTATTTATTAATAATATTGCTATTATATATTTTTATTATTACTTAATCAGCAAAGAAGAAAGATACGAACCATCATCTCCTTCCATTTTCATATTGGTAAATAGTTCCTTTATTTTCTCTTGGGACCAAGAACAAGCATTTTTCTCCGTCCTTAAAAAATATTATTATAAGTCTTATTTGATAAATATTATTAACTGTAATAATATATTCCACATAATTTTTGTTTTACAAAGTAAAGAATAAATTAATGTAGTTTCCAAGTTTGGACACATTTATTGAAATTATAATACAAAAATATGATATATATTTCTATATAATTGAAATTATATATGTTTATATGTAAATATCAAATTGTGATTAATTCAGCAAGAAACTGAGCAAATTATAAAATGTAGTCAAATATGACATAAATAAATCAAATAAAAATTTCTCCTGATATTTTTATATTAAAAATCGTTTATATACATATATTATAGAATTCTATTACAGAACTTTATGACTAATAAAATATTAAGATGTGCATAGTCATATTTTTCTATCTACACAAATAAATAATAAAAGTATTATTTCCAAAAGCACATACTATAAGTTTAAAAAATAGAAATTTTAAATATACTTTAAGACTAGAATTATTTATAACCTTCAAGCAGATAATATTCAAATAAAAATTCTAAATTTATTTACTGAAACCTCTGCTATAATGAAAATTAACCAATAATGTTCACTAATTCACTAACCTCACTAAAATTATAATAACTATAATCCAGAGAACCTACAACACCAGAAGCTTTTCCCAGGAAACTAATGAATATAAATGCTTTTCCATAGTTCTGGAATATTGTCTATTAATAAACATGAATCAAACAAATGAATCAAAAACAGATATTAAGCCAATATCGCACACATATTCAAAGACATTTTGTTCACTATAATTTTTCGTTAATTTTTAATATTAAATATCATTAATAGATTATGAATTTTTATGCAACTACATATTTTTGTTATTGTTTATATTTTGCGTATAAAGCTAATGACTGAATATGTTACATGTTTTCTACATATTTTACATATTTGTCTTTTTTTATCTTTGTAACAATTCATATATCATGATATTTCTATGTTACATGGCATAACTTACATATGATTGTTTTATAATAAAGTTGCTTAGTATAATTTGAATTCACAATCAGTAATACAGCATCCCATCTCTCACTTATAATAAGAAATATAAATAGAAAACAATAATACTGTATATCGATCGGCTATATATAAATTTTAAATGGTACATCTATAGAACAGCCAGAAAATATGCCAGCACAATGCGCAAACAACTTGAAATATGTACCAGTCACATCTTATGACATAAAAAGATTATTTCCCATTTATAAGTTAATTTTTTCTCACAACCTCCATAGTAGAAAACCTTCAGAAAATGATTGTTATATATTGTAACGCAAATTATGATATATGAAACAATAATAAAATCACTAAACCTTGAAAAATATATGAATATATCTTGCAAAATGTTAACATATTTGCAAATTTTCTGTGTATTCCTTACATATTATTTATTAATTTCCTGCATATTTTTTTACATATTGTTTTCATATTTCTTGCACATTTGGAAATGTTTTAGCGGAATAAAAATCTGCAGTCCAGTCATTATGTAAGATTCATATATCAATAAAATAATATTCTGCATGTTATACTACAATTATAAATAATGCAATGACCATCATCAATTTTGACACTTTAACCTACAAAAATGCATTATCCGTATTTCTATTATTAAACGTAACGGAATTAAAATTAATTTCAATTTCAAAAGTATTTTTTACTTGGAAGTTATGTAGAGATCTCTTAATTGATTTATAGATCGATGCTGCATTTCTTTCAATGCTGTTAAAAATATCACATTTTTAAAATATGACTTTGGTAACAAAAAATTGGAATAATCCAAATTCTTTATTAAATAATATAATACTGGAAATTATAAAATTCAATACATCATTCAAATAAGAGTTACAAAGAAAAAAATATAACAAAAAATTAATTTCTTATTGAAATAATTAATCAAGAATATGAAAAACTTTTTATAAAATGCAAAGAAATATTTTCATATACAGTTCATATTTTAAAAATGTAAGTAATATTTTTAAAAAAGAAGTTAAAAACAAGTTTAAAAGAATAAAAGATTATATTTGGAAAATTAAAAGATATACTATTGGGTTAGCAAGAAAGTAATTTTGGTTTGCATCAGTAAATAATGTTATGCTTGTTTAGTTATTCTTTTGTCAATGTTAGAATTTTTTTCTTTTGAGATGTAGTAGTTGATACCTTTACGTTGCTATTTCGTGAAATTCCGTGTAATTTCTTTTATAACTGTCAGTTCACGGTCAGTATTAACATGGAGTGCAAAAATAAGCATTTTCGACACATTTTACTTTTTTATTTTCATAAAGGCAAAAATGTGGCTGAGACTCACAAAGAGACATGAGAAGTTTATGGTGTTGATTGTTTAACAGAACGCACGTGTCAGAATTAGTTTAAAAAATTTCGTTCCGAAGATTTTTCACTGAAAGATACCCACAACGTTCTGGTCGACCTTCTGAGATTTACGCACTTGGTTAAGTTTTTTGCAGATAAGGACCAGAAATTCTATGAGCACGGGATCATGAAGTTACCAGAAAGATGGCAAAAGGTCATTGAATAGAATGGAAGATATTTGACCGATTAAAGTTCATTTACTGTATAGAAAAAATTGAGTTTTATTTCACACTAAAAAACCGAAAGTACTTTCTTGCCAACCCAATACATTGAACTTCAATGTACAACAGTAAAATTATTTTAATTATAAGTAATTTTTATATTACATGAAACATTTAATTTATTATATTAGTGCATAAATAAGCTTATTTACTATATATGGAGAAATTAAAATATATGATCATATTTTTCTATACTATATTTTTTTCTTATTATATGAAACAAAGAAGCTAATCATTTGATGTGTCATAATTCCTTTTTATATTTTTAAAATGATGTAATCTAGATAAAAATAACATTTACCTAAATCATTTTCCTTATATTCTGTATAGTTAACTCTTATATTAAAGAATTATGACAAACAATCAATTTCTTTGGAAGAAACTTAAAAAAAAAAATATGAAATAATTAGTCCCATTAGTATTCACTTATACCTTATTTAATTGAAAATAAAAATAATAATCAAAGTTAATATGCAGTGGGTGTTTTGAGAAAGCAATTTGGTACACTTTATTAGATTTATCCTAGATGATTCTAAAACAAAATGGACTGAAATAGTTATATATATATATTTTATCATACCAATGCCAGTTATTTACATTAGTAGCATCAGGCCTTTCTTCAACAATCCATCTTGGATCTCCTTCGCCCCACTTAGCCATGGCTTAGAAATGAAAAATTCACAATATGGTAGCGTTCAAATATATCAACTGAACTAAATATTTATCTCTAAAACATAAAATGATATCAGTAGTTATCAGCAACACATTTTTATAAAAATTGAAATATTATTACAAATGTAATAATTTTGTTAAAAATTTTAACAAAATAGGAACTTAAACAAATTTAAATTCAGACAAATCACTAAAAATACTCAGGTTCTGAATGTAGCAGGAAAGTTTCCTCAATATAAAAAATATTATAATATTAAGTTATATTTGGGGGGATTAATAAAATTAAAAAATTTAACTATTTTTGGGGTTTAATATGTACTTCCTAACAAATTGTATATTTTAACATATATAACTAAATTCTATAGATTATAATAATCGATTTATGATACTATTTTCAATCATAGTGAAAAATGACACAAAAGAAATGTACAGTTTTAGAAATAAACGATTTAGATTTAAAAACTGACAACTAGTACTACAAAACCTAAATTTCATTATTTGTTCAACTATTTTAATTAAATAAATTATAAATCGAAATTAAAGTCTACTATGAACATTTATATGTAATGAAATAACGAAACGTTAATAGACGAAGTTAACTAAATTTCGATTTTTTTCGCTTTTTAAAATGTAATTATTCAATTTTTGATTATCTTCAAATTGCCAATAAAGTAACATAATTAGAATTAAATTAAAGTGTAGTTACATGAAAAACAACGAAACCGTAAAACAATCGACTTCTACTTGCATAAAAATCGGAGCAATGTAAATATATACGAAGCATAACCTACAATTTATATTCGTTCAACAAACGTTTCCTATAAAGGAAAATATTTTATGTTTTACACAATACTAGTTGTTTCACTTACCAATATTCTCAGAAACTGTTACGACTAGAAAAAGAATTTGTCAATCACTTTCTATTTATTTACAATTCGATTTAATTATAACTTATTTGAATTATTTAATTATAACTTAATACATCGTTTTATAATAAGATAACTATTTCTAGAAAAATCGAAACACGTTAAATGTCAAAAATTTTTTGAACAAATAAATAACGTGAAACTGCAAACGTCCACGCGAAACTCGAAATTTCTAAGGAAACATGTTATAATGGTGGGGATATAGAATCCTTCTAGAAATTTCGTAAACGTATAACAGTAAAATTATTCTAGAGAGGAAACTAAATTTAAAAACATATAGTTACTAGACAACTCCTAGATAAATGATTGAATGATAAAATGATATAATTTATTACTACCTAAAATCTATAAAATGTCAAATAAAAAATTGCAAAGTTCTTCTAGATAGAAAAGGATATTAATTGATTCCGGAAAAGAATGTTTTAAAATTATACAATAAATAAAAAATACTTTAGGTAAAAGAAACGAAAAAAATAAAACCTTTCGTAGTAAAATCGAATTAATTTAAAACAAATAATGAAAGTCTAAATAATATTTGTTTACATATAATTGGAAAAATTTAACTATTTTTGGGGTTTAATATGTACTTCCTAACAAATTGTATATTTTAACATATATAACTAAATTCTATAGATTATAATAATCGATTTATGATACTATTTTCAATCATAGTGAAAAATGACACAAAAGAAATGTACAGTTTTAGAAATAAACGATTTAGATTTAAAAACTGACAACTAGTACTACAAAACCTAAATTTCATTATTTGTTCAACTATTTTAATTAAATAAATTATAAATCGAAATTAAAGTCTACTATGAACATTTATATGTAATGAAATAACGAAACGTTAATAGACGAAGTTAACTAAATTTCGATTTTTTTCGCTTTTTAAAATGTAATTATTCAATTTTTGATTATCTTCAAATTGCCAATAAAGTAACATAATTAGAATTAAATTAAAGTGTAGTTACATGAAAAACAACGAAACCGTAAAACAATCGACTTCTACTTGCATAAAAATCGGAGCAATGTAAATATATACGAAGCATAACCTACAATTTATATTCGTTCAACAAACGTTTCCTATAAAGGAAAATATTTTATGTTTTACACAATACTAGTTGTTTCACTTACCAATATTCTCAGAAACTGTTACGACTAGAAAAAGAATTTGTCAATCACTTTCTATTTATTTACAATTCGATTTAATTATAACTTATTTGAATTATTTAATTATAACTTAATACATCGTTTTATAATAAGATAACTATTTCTAGAAAAATCGAAACACGTTAAATGTCAAAAATTTTTTGAACAAATAAATAACGTGAAACTGCAAACGTCCACGCGAAACTCGAAATTTCTAAGGAAACATGTTATAATGGTGGGGATATAGAATCCTTCTAGAAATTTCGTAAACGTATAACAGTAAAATTATTCTAGAGAGGAAACTAAATTTAAAAACATATAGTTACTAGACAACTCCTAGATAAATGATTGAATGATAAAATGATATAATTTATTACTACCTAAAATCTATAAAATGTCAAATAAAAAATTGCAAAGTTCTTCTAGATAGAAAAGGATATTAATTGATTCCGGAAAAGAATGTTTTAAAATTATACAATAAATAAAAAATACTTTAGGTAAAAGAAACGAAAAAAATAAAACCTTTCGTAGTAAAATCGAATTAATTTAAAACAAATAATGAAAGTCTAAATAATATTTGTTTACATATAATTGGAAATTCTATGACTTAAATATTGATTGTGTTTGTAATTGATTTTATTTTCAAAATACATAATTTTTAAATAATATTAAAAAATAATTTTTAATATATGTACATATAATGGTTATACAATACATGTAATGATTAGTTTGAAATGCACGTGGTGTCTTATATAATAATTTGGAACATCAAACATTTATAGTATGTTCACTTACATTAAATTTATTTTAACCAATTAACTGCGAAGGTGGGTTTTCAAAATTCTACTCTCTGTGAGGGGTTAAAATCAAGCACTGATGTAATACACTTCAACGCGCCAGAATAGAGATTTTGATTAACGGGTATTGATAGATTTTGCAGTTAACTGGTTCAAAGAACGTTGGAACTAAGTTAAAATCCATAATATAGTGTCAACAAAAATATGGGTTATAACTTCGTATGTAGTGTATAAGTGCTTATCTATAATTTCGTATTTACACATAATAATTATTTAAGTTTGTATAAAAAGGAATATTATCTGTTATAATATGCAGTTATTTGTTAGTTCCTTCTTATAATATTTTTCGTTCACCATATTTTTCATTTTGCTTGTTTAATTCAATGGCTAGAAAGGTAAAAATGTTTCATATTCTTTTCGGTTAAAAATTTTATATAAATATATCAAATTTCAAAATAGAATAATGTTTTTACTTTAGTACATAATGTTTACATTTTTTATATTTTAAGAAATATGTAATTGTTTTCATAAATTTATTAACATTCTTTATGCAGATCAGAAATATGCCCACAATATAGGGAAAAGACTACATCGAATAAAATTCATAGACTATATTTGAATTTTACTCGTTGCAAGATAAGATTGATAGACTAAATTTGCTGATTATGTTGAAAGAGAAGGATATTAAAAATTATATAGAAGAAACTGAGAGAATAGAGAAAGAACACGAGTTAAAAAGAGAAGTATGAAAATTAGACAGTAAAATAAGTGGGAAAAGTAGCAACTATTTATGCTCCCAAAGAATAAATTAAATACTTCCAAAAACAAAATTTAAGGATAGAAGAGAGAAGAGGAGAAGTCGAACAGTTGCAAAAAGAGATTGAAAATTACAAAAAAGTATGTGATAATTTATAGCATTTTATATCTAAATATGTAAATATAGTTTGATAAATATATTTTTTGTTTAAGCATAGAAATATTACTTGAAGCTCCTACAGAAGATGTGGATAAAATGATTTGAAGAACATATAATCTAAATACAATTATTACATACATATGTCATGAGAAGGTAATTAAATTATATAATTCTGTGTATTTTTCTTGCATAGTATATAGATACCATATTTACTGTTATATATTATTCATAGAAAATTTGAAGATATAATAATTTATGAAAGCGGAAAGATGTTCATATGCAATAAAGTTGAAAAGTTAGAAAAAGAGATGCCTTTAATGCAAAAAACGGTTAAATTTAATTAAAAAATAGTGAATATATCAAATATTAACTTCAACGATGACACAAAATAAAATGAAATTGAAAAAATTGTTAATAACATAGAAACTAGGAAAGTAGATATAGATCAAAAAGAAGAGAAGCAATCTGCCATAACAATAATTACAATAACTTATTATTTTTGTAATATGGTAATATTTGAATTATACATATTTAAATTATTTTTAGTATTTGTTCTAAATGATTAATAATTTATTTTTAGGAAAATGAAACAAGTTTTCCATATTTTCCAGTAAAATCAAGAGGAGTATCTTATTTAAAGCAACATGTAACTCAAGTAAACATAATACAATGAAATGAAGTTCTTCGATTCTTAGAAAAAAATCAAGAATTAAACAAGCATGCTGAATAAATGTAAGAAAACACATCGCAACTTTAAAAATGATAACCTTCATTTCTTTTTACGTATACAGATTCTTTATTTAGAAAAATATGGAAGCTGATACAATTGCATTTGATGGTTTTGAAAGACATTCAGAACTTGAACAATACCCTAGTTCTTTTAATACTACAGTAAAAAATATAATTTTTTTGTTTTATACTCTTTATACTCTTTATATTTGAAGAATGTATATAAATAATGTTTATATGTAAATATCAAACTGTGATTAATTCAGCAAGGAACAGAGAAATTGTAAAATGAATTCAAATGTGATATAAGTAAATTAAGAAGAAGAAGATTCTCCTGATATTTTTGTAGTATAAATTTTTTATGTATATTATAAAATTTGATGATGAGTAAAATATTAAGATGTATATTGTTTAGGAATTAATTTAGAGTTAGATTAAAGATTAAAGACCAGGATGGTGATAAAATAGTTTAAATAGCAGAATAGTTAATGTAAAGAGAAAGAAAGTTGTTTTTGATAAAGTAAATTTAATTGCGCATAAAAACAAACGGTTTGGTAATTCTGTAAAATACCTCGGACAAAATACTAATTTAACTACTACAGTAATTCTTATTGCCATTTGGTACACTTCGGCACGTTTGCACCAATTTGATCGATTTTGATACGTTGAAGATTCATGACGTACTGATTACCGTTTTGAGAATTACGATATGAATGAACAGAGTCGCCAACTGTCAAAGACAGCTGAAACAGTCGGCCCTTGCTTAACATGTACATAATTATGTACATGTAATTTTAAGTCCATATACAAGGAACTATACAAGGGCTCGCTTACACACGCGCACACGCGCACACACACACACATCACAGGAGACTTAGTATCATGGTAGATCTGGTTAGAGTAGTTGTTAAAGTTCTGATGGTAGCAACTCTGCATAGTTCATTCTCACTTAGATGCAGTTTGACTACTTTGGCTAATGCTAACCCACTTGATTGTCTCTTCTTAATGAGAAGAACGATGGAATCTTCCACGATGTTGTAGTCTTTCTGATGCCACTTGTGCATCTCTTGAAGTCTCGAAGGATATTATTGCAATCACCTTGCCCAGAAATATTCGAGCATCTTCCTGTTTGGTTGATATCTGAAAAGTCTGAAAGTATTGAGCCGAGTTGAAGGTGATTGTGGAATAGAATTTAAAGCAGAAATAGTTAGAAAGTACCTTGATGTTAATACTTGAATGTTTTCAGGGTCTTCAGAAAAAGGATAGAGCAGTCGAGAGTTTAACATAGTCACAATCTGTGCTAATAGAGTGTAGAATTTTTGAAACGTGATTAGTGAATCATCTCCAATGATTCTCCTGAGATGGAATTTGGCTAATTTAACAGTATGCCTCACTTGCCACCGAAGTGTGGAACACCAGGAGGGTTAAAAATCCCATAACTCACAAGGAGAGTGCAAAGCTTTCAGGTCAGTGATTTGGTTGAAACTTTGCGTATTGATAGATCTGATTCCCCTATTTATGAATACATACCATTATATGGGCAGGAACTCAACAGTTTTTTAGATATTCGTAATTAAAAATTGATTACATAAATAAGTCAAGTATTAATCACGTTAGTCACCAAGGCAAATAGCGACGTGAAGGTAGCGTTTTGGAATTGTACCCTGTTGATTAGGGTTTGATTCCTCGTGAGGACGAAATATTTTTTCGACTTTTTTATTTAAATTAATTCGATTTTATGCATGTCAAATATTAAACAAAAATTACTTTATTTCGTAGAAGACTTTAACTGTATGAAATATACAAAGTAATATACAAAAAAAATACAAAAAGTACAAAAATATACAAAATATAAAAATATAAAATGTAAGAGATATGAAAGTACAGGATATATAAACATACATGTATCTTCTGTAGATACCCCACTCCCAATATTCCGTCTCCAAGGTTGGCTAACAAGGAGAGTGCAAGTTCTTCGAGTCACCGATTTGGTTAAAACTTTGTAGCTTTGTAGATCTCGTTATGCAGTTGAAGAAAATATACCATTATAGCAACTACTCAGTAGTTTTTTAGATATTTATGATTGAAGTTTTATTACTTGCGTAACTGCAGATGTATTCCATTAGTTTTAAAGTAGCGTTGTGGTCCAGTGGCGACGTCCGAAAATTCCTACGCTGCAGGTCGGGGTTCTATTTTCCGTCCATAGTTTGGTACCTTTTTTTCAATCTATTTTTTATTTTGTATTCATTTTTCGCCTACGAATAAAATTTCTTAATAAAAGAAATTTATCGATCGTTTTATTTATTAGTGGTTCCCTCCTTTCCCTTTTTGTTCTGATCAATTGTTTCCGTTAGCCAATTTTTTGTTTCATTTCCTGAAGCTTTGAGCATCTCTTGTAGAAAGCGGGGTGGCCAAAGCTTTTGTAATTAACGCAAAAGGGTTTGTCAACTGTCCTGTCTGTTTACGCGCACTCTCCTGGATTATGCTGGAGATTACATTTTACGCATCTGTATTCTGCAATAGATTGCATTTCAGCGCGATGTGGCCTATCCTTTGGCACCTTTTGCACTGGATTCCATCTTTCCTTAATATCTTTTCCCAATGATTCAGGGAATGGAGTATTACTTTAATTTGTTTTAAGTTATCTATTTTGCTGTCGGGAGGCAGATGAACTATATGAATTGGGGACTTTCTTCCCTTTTGGATTGATATCTGCATTTCAAAATTTCTAACCGCTTGAAATCGGATGTCAGGAATATTTTTCGAGCAGAGCTCGTTCAAAACGATTTCGAGCTCGAATTCGCTGTCTAGGTACTTCAGATGCATCGATATATTTCTCGTACCTTTAGACGAATAGGCGAAGAAATTTACATTTTGTTTTAACCACTTGCGCTATAAAGACGTGTCACGCACGTCGAGATGCTTTTGTTCCAAAGCCGCCAGCGACGTGTATACCACGTTGATAGGCATTTGTCGCAGAAACAAAAACGACGTGTCCGTCACGTCGGCTTGCTGACGCGGTGCGGCGTGAATGTAACGCCTTACCGCATGTTATATTGTAGAGCGCGGCACGGCAACCGAAAGTTAAATTGTAGTGCAAGTGGTTAAAGACTATGAGACAAATAAGACCACACTGTATGATATGGCGAATATGAGAATTGAAAACTTATTTATGCTGTATGGAGAAATACAAGGTAACGAGAAAAAAGAAATATAAATAGATGGAAAAAAGGAAATTGAAACGTATGGTCGAGAAGAGAATAGGACAACACAGAGACACTGGGAGGATTCGTTGTTTCAGCTGCGGATTGGGGAGTCATCCAAGTGCAGAGTACCTTAAGAAGCCCCTCCCAAGGGGCCGAATTCCAAATGCGTTGCCTAATTTCTTTAAAATTACTCGAAACCATAAAAAGGTATTTCCTACAAATATAAAATGTATAATATGAAATTGTAAATAATTCATGACCAATTATATTCTCATTGAACCTCACGCGTTTGGTGGTTATTGCATCTCGTACTTTGGTGCACCACAACCTGTAGCTTTTTGTGCAGCTACTGTAACCGACCATGATACATTCTGTAGAGAAATCATGGGTAAATGTTATAAAGTATTTACTTCTTCCGATGGACTGTACTGGCATGGATTCGCATATATCTGAATGTATTAATTCGCATATCTAGCTGGACTATGTTCCCTTGAACTTCTTGCATAGTATCTTTAACATTTTAACAACGTAGCATGATTCTGTATCAAACTGTGACTTTCGCTTCATCGAAGTCTCTTACTTTGCCTGAATCAGTTATCTTGACAATCCATGTTCAGATTCAATGCATGTGACTCTTTGGATTTGTGCATCTTCACACCTATTTCAACTTGGATCATGTATAGATCATCCTTTCGATAAGCCTCACCTTAGCCTCCTCTTTCGGGTAATACAAATCTTGATTATTGCCTTTCTTTTATTGACGTCCTAAAAGGACTGAAAGAGAGCGACTCGTGACATTGATCGAGGCCGTTGAGACCTCCGACCAACTGGAGGATCTGGCTGTACAAATGGCCAGGTTTTTCTGCGATTTCGTTGCTGGAACGCGAGGGTGACGAGTCCGGATGTGAAGGCTGTCAGCCACAACCGGTTGCGAGGAGTGTACGAGCGTGTTTCAGTCGCAATGGGACCAGCGCCTGAGTGACTGTCCTTCCGACCGTGCAGAAGCGGTGCGTGCACAGCGACTTTATACCATGCGGACCGCAAGCGTGTATTGCGTGAGGTTGTTCGAGGACCGCACTTTCAGACCGTTTGCGCTGTGCGGGATCCCTATAGGAACACTTCGACTATCGCACCCCAATAAGCTCTAAAAATATCTTACAGTACTATTTGCATATGTTATCATATTCTTCATTTTATCACGCTCTTTGTGTCTATGGTGGCCCGTAACAAAAGATTGGTCTATATTATAAATTGGTTATTCTCCCCGTAAACGAAATATGTAATATTAAGGAACTCTTCGATTCTCGAGTCGTTCAGTCGCTTATAAGAATTTTAACAGAAACGATATATTTTCCTTGATTAATAAAGAACAAGTCAAGAATACAATATGCGTTGTCAATCTTTGGTTTTTTGTTCCTATTTTACGTCGCATCGACATCGAGGTTATTAGCGACGATTTAGTGTTGGAACTTCATATTTGTTGGTACATTTTTATTTCTTTAAGAAAGTTTAATGTAGGTCTTACGTGTTCTTCCGACGTTAGGGCTGTGTCGGGCTTAATACCGTGTTTTCGTCTGATTGATTCGGTTTCTTTACAGTCGTATAAGATGGGCTCGGTTGTTAGTAGCGTAGGTTGGTTCTGGCATAGGTTACAGTTTGGAGAGTCAGATTTCATGAAGAGGTATTCGTGTGTAATTTTGGTGTATACACATCTTACAATTAGTCGAGCTAATATTGTTTTTCCTTTTCTGTTAATGTTATGATGCAGCATTTGCTGGTGAAATTGTTGAATTATATTGTGTATTTCATTTCTTTTTGTAGTTGTTAATCTGTCCATATATTGTTCCATTCTTTTTTTATGGTTTTTTTTTTAAATGGTTGATGCGGTCTAGGTATGGTATTGGGGTAAATGGTTCAGTTAGTAGAAGTGAGGAGGCTTCTTTTGTTGCGGTATCGGCTCTTTCGTTGTCTGCGATAGCTTGGTGCGAAGGGGTCCAGATAATGTTTATATCAACGTTGTTATTATTGTATATTTTTTGTGTAGGTCTCTAGTGTGTTCCTTATTATTTTATAGTTTTTGCTATTTGTGAATAATAAGACTTTGATCACATTCATGGAATCCTAGAAGATGGCTAGATTGTGTATGTTGTTAGTGTGGGCATAACTCAGGACTTCAGCTATGGCGTACGCCTCGGCAGTAAAAATTGAAGCTTGTTTGGGGAGGCTTTTTTTAGTCGTATGTTCACTTGAGGTGATTACATACCTTGTCCTTGTATCTGTTTTGGAAGCTTCTGTATATACAGTGACTCACGAAAATATTCGGATACCAGGGTATGTCTGAATTAATCAGATCGTGTTGTGGGGATGTGTAGCTTTTAAGTTGGTATGAATGAGAGGTGATGCGTGGTGACGAGCGAATGTGGATGGATGGTAAAACTGGAAAACAAAAGAAGCGCGAAGAACAAGTGAGTGTGTGTCCGACCGAACGATGGGTGAATGTTCCTTTTCCGCGTGAGAATGTGCGATGAATAATAATCTAAAACTGTTGTGTTGTGAGAATCTTTGTAAAAATTAATATTATTAATAAGTAGTTTAATAAGTGGCATCCTCAAGTTTTCATTATCCACCACACGTATCGCAGATGATAATAAATGGATCGTGTTCAATACTTCTTCTAGTGAGAAGACATTTATTCAATTATATGTAGACATATGTTTTATGTAATAAATTTGTATGAATTTATTATAATAAATTATAAATAAAATGATACCCTATTTTCACGTCACAAAAATATTCGGACACATTGTGCGTTTACGATATTTCTCTTCCCGAGCAGTTAATGTTTTTGCAAGTTACCGATGAATGTTTACAAACATAGCTTTAGCCGACGATGTTACCACAGTATCCTTCAGTATTGAGCTTGAAATACGGTGAAATGGATCGTAAAGGAAAGAATACATCGTTCGATTTACGTCAATTAATCATTTTTCATCGTGGGAAAGGAAAGTCTTACCGCGACATTGGTTCTTTACTTAACGTCAGTAAAAGTACGGTCGCTGACATTGTTAGGAGGTTTGAGGATGAAGATCGTATCGACTTTATTCCTCAAACTGGTCGACCAGCCGCTCTAACTGCGAGAGAAAAAAGAGGAATGGTTGGAAACATTAAAGCAAATCTTCGATTAAGTGCTCCGAAATTGGCGGCAGAACATTACGAAGAGACAGGAACACAAGTTCATCTCGAAAGAATTCGGAGAATTCTTAGGCAACACGGGTACAACGGTCGTGTCTGTAGAAAAAAGCCTTTTATTAATGAGGCCAACAAGGAAAAGCGTGT